TTACCTTGAAAATATTGTCTCGCATACATTCGCACAGAAATACCCAACTTTCAGGTGTATTTATACTAAAAACATCACAAATTATCTTATTTTTCTTTAGATTTAAACCCTACTATCAGAGTAGGGAACATATCACTGAATTATGTAATAAAACTTTAGATTTAAACCCTACTATCAGAGTAGGGAACATATCACTGAATTATGTAATAAACAATGACATATGAACTTCAGTAAGTGAAAAATAGCTATCTATATAGTTAAAGCTGTCTAGAGGGAAAAAACTGTCTATAAGGACCACCTGTGTATAGCAACCACCTTTGTACAGTGACCACATGTCTTATCAGGAACTCTGGTCCACAAAGACTGCCTGCCCCAGGAGACTGATAATTATGCATGCCAGAGAGTACTTAATAGACAGGTTGACAATACATATATTCACATAGAATCTGAGTACAGCTAAGCAAAACAAGACCACGTGCAAGATTACAACACATCTAATAGTTAGGTATCTGTTATGTTAAATAACCTGCAAATAGTTGTGATAATGACTGGAAATTTACACAATTGTATCCACACAATTACTTTTGTGTGAGTGAAATAAACTTCTACCACAATTTTAAGACTTACTTGGAGTCTAAGGGGTTGACAGCCATACCACAATACAGGAAGAAAATGGCTGTTGTTAACAGAAGCTGGCATCATAAGCAAACAAATAAGTCTAAAATAGCATAATTCTGAGCAGGTGGAAAAGTATAGCAACATCACTGACCTCCTGCTGCTAGTCAGAAATCAATCCGGAATGCCAAGCAACCCACCAGATCACCAGACCCCAAGAGAGAATGCTTGAAGCAGTGCTGCACCAACAGTGGAACTCAATTAACGGTTAGCAAACTCCACCCTGTGAAAGAGAGTGAGGTAGAGGACACCATGACATAAACAATGAAAATATCATAAAATAACAGACATCTGGCTTTGTAATTGATATATATGTAAGCTGTATCTATAAATGAAGCTTATACAGCAGTTAAATGAGAAACTTGCACCAGAAAAACAGTAAAATGCAATTTCTGAGCTAGTTACCATGGTAATGGTTCAATAAGCTACCAGAAGTACACTGAAATACAACCAGAATTATTGTGAGATGACCTCTTCAATGTTTCACACATATTCCTTACTGCTTTGCTACTTCTATGTAAGAGATGTGATGTGAACTTATCAAGTACCTCTGGCTTTGAAATTACAAGAAATTGGAGAGTTATCTCCCTTCTTCATCACCTGGAGCAAATAAACAGATTGAGCCAAATCAGAATTTTTGTTGTCTTTTATGATGTTTCTAGCCATACCAGATGTAAAGGAGACCCAATAAAGAATTTTAAAGGATATTTGTCATACAACAAATTTTGGTAAAACCCTATATAAGGTAGCAGGGAACAGTTAAATGGCCATTTTCTGAAAAACAAGGGACACATTCCAGTTAATTACACACAGTAAAAAGATATATTTTCATAAACTATACAACACATGCAATTCTAATATACAATAGAGCATTGTCTAAATACATGTTTACTTTATATTAAACACTGTTGAAAACCATGGTTACCACATTAAACAAGAGTGCCATGGACACAATATATGCCACCACAAAATATAAAGATATGGAAAAATCGCCACTTCCAGGACATCCACCCATTGTAGTAGTGACATTGAGCAAGTTTCGTGAAAATCTGTTCATTAGTTTAAGAGGAGTTACATTCACAAGGCTCCACTATGAGCAAGCTACAGACACAAAGTTGAAAATGGCATAAATCTTACAAAAATCAAAGTACTGAAAATTCGCCCCTTCATGCACATCTACTCAACTTTACCCTCACAAGGGAATACTATGCGAGAGGACCACTCTCCCATCACTTCAAATCATCTGCCTCCCAACCACCAAAATTTGGATGCCCAAGGGAGGCCGAGTCATGACATAGGAAAGGGGACACATGACACCTTATTAACCTATAGGAATACCAATACTGGAGAGCCACCGTCCTGACGCCTCACGCCCCTTGATTAACATACCCTGAAACTTGGATTACAAAGATAATCTGAGTCGTAATATAGGAAAAGTGAACACACTAGGTATGGAACCTCTGCCCTCCGTTAATTACAAGAGCACTATGCCAGAGACCCAATATACCCAATACCTTATCATCACTTCAATATAATGGATATGTGTGCACAGTTTGCAAAGTACATAGCTAAAAAGGACCTGCTATTGTCAAGAATGATGGTCTTGAATGATACGCCTGAACCATTTGGAAGGCAACTTTTTAAAACATTATATCAGAGATGGACGTCTCTTCTGAGTGACTTGGGCCGGACTCCTCAAGACAAGCCAAGACTCTTTATGCAGCTAAGGCTGTAGATCCTAATGTGTGTCTTCTGAATAATTTGGGAGAGACTAAATGAAAGATTTGGAAGTCCAGAGATGATTCGGGCAGGTATAGAGGTTAGCTGCCTTTGAGAGGATTAAGCCTTGAAAGGATCAAAATAGGCTTTGTGATTGGGCTGATTTAGTGACAGAAATTTGGGCACTGAAGGAAGATGAAACATACTCCATTCTTTTTGGATATTTTGACAGCCCATCCGGTGTCACACCTATTGTGAACAAAGAGGCGTCAAGAAGCAAGAAAATCTTCAAGGTCTTGTATCTACCCTTTTCACATTTAGTTACATTCATCCAGGACATGGCTATGGTAAGAAATGACCTATGAGTTTTGCTTATAACAACCGAATACAAGACTCTCAGAAGGGCAAAGGTGTGTTCTCACATACAAAACTGAGGATGCCACACCTCGCAATCACTCTAAGGAAGACTGATGCAAAAGGAGACCAGTTTAACAAACACAGACTTGTGTCCTCCAAACCAACCTTAAATAGCTGTAGGGCATTCCGTAATCAACCGCTTTCAGAGGGAAAGGATCTGATATTCAAGAAAGGCTTATGCTTCCACTGTTGTGGAAATACCAGACATCTCGCAAAACACTGTACGGTATTGGTACGCTGTGAATTATGTCAAGCCAATAGTCATCCAACAGCTCTCCATGCGGCACAGCAGGAAACTGCTCAGACTTTGTCACCATCTCAAGACAAGAAATCTTCAGGCTCACGGACTCGTGGAGGGGAGAGCAATGGTAAGGCAACCATTTCCTCCAAGATGTAAAGGCTTCATGTACTCAGGTTTGCAGAAATCCTGTACTCACCAGCAAATCATGTGGCAAAATTGTCATGGCAAAGGTACATCCGCAAGGACAGCAGGAACTGGCTTCAACGTGTATGTCATAATAGATGACCAAAAGTAATCGCAGGATCCTCCATCTTTGACAGCTTTAAAGCGAACAGACCAAGTGTTGAGTACTCTATGTCGTTTTGTAGTAGTGGAGTCAATGGATGGAGGCTTTAAGACCACCAGAGATCATAGAGTGCAATAACATTCCAAACATTCACGAGGAAATTCCTACCCCCGAGGTAACAAAGAATTACGAACACTTACATGATCTCTCCGGTATTATCCAACCTGTGCAAAATGAGGTCGAGATCTCACTACTCATTGGACGTGACTTACCAGAGGTTCATCACATTCCAGATCAACGGATTGGAGGAACTGGTTCGCTATTTGCCCTTAGACTACGATTTGGTTGGGTCATTGTTGGGGAAACTTGTTTAGGAGATGTACATAGAGCAGACAAAGTGAATGTGAACAAATTATAGATGCTTCCCAATGGCAGGCCTACTTGCCTTAATCCATGTTACAACAGAATGGAAGTACAGGATTCCCTGTAAGACCACATTTTCGTCAGGACACCTGATGACAACAGACCTGGGTTATCTGTCAATGATAAACAATAACTAAACATTACGGCCGCAGAGTTTAACAAGGACAGTGAAGGAAACTGGGTGGTACCACTTCCTTTTCAGAAACCCAGAGAAAGACTTCCCAATAATCATGAGGCTGTCTTGAAGAGGGCAATATCCTTAGAAATAAGTATGATCCGAGACACGAACAAGAAAGAGGATATGTTCAAGTTCATGGAAAGCATTTTGAAAAAGGGCCATGCAGAGGTGGCTCCTGAAGTATCAGATGAACAAGAAAGATGGTGTCTTCCTCTTTTCTGGGTTTACCACCCTTGCAAACCTGGAAAAATCATGGGCGTCTTTGATTCTTCTGCCAAATTCAAAGGAGTGTCGCTTAATGATGTCCTGTTGACCGGACCCAACATGAATAATCTTATGGGTGTTCTTTTGTGCTTCAGAAAAAGAGCTGTAGCCATGGCAGCAGACATAGAACACATGTTCTACTGCTTTGTCGTAAATCAGGATCATAGAGATTTCCTGCGATTTTTCTGGTACAAGGGAAATGACTTTACTAACCCATTGATCGAAAACAAAATGACACGACATGTCTTTGGAAATGGTTCATCTCCTACAATAGCAACCAACATATTGGTGACGTGCGCAAGTTCGTTTACAGGAACTTTAATGTGGATAATGGTGTTTTTCTGTTACAGACACAGAGAGGGCTATTTGTCAAATGTGGCGGACAAAGGAGGTTGTTCAGCAGGACGGAAAGCTTCGATTGCATAAGATCATTTCAAATGCACCAGAGATCCTTCAGGCATTCAACCACGAGGAGCTGGCAAAAGAAGTCAAGGATTTAGCCCTTTACCGACACAAACTAGCCTGGGTTTATACTAGGATGTAAATTCAGACTCATTTACCTTTCATGTCTCTTCAGAAGTGAAATTGTACACCAACCGCAGTGTATTGTCTACTATTAACAGTTTGTTTAACTCCATTGGGTTTGTTGTTCCAGTCTTAATCAAGGGCAGATGCATTCTGAGGTCGTGTATGTCGTCCCCTGCAACTGGGATGACCCATTTCCGCCTGACTTAGAATCGGTATGAAGAGATTGGAGAGACTCATTACAAGCTCTTACATCAATCTGCATTACCAGGATGTATGAGCAAGTGAAGGAGGAGAATTTGGTCACCACAGAACTGCACACCTTTTGTGATACATCTAAAGATGCAGTTGGTGCCGTTACGAATCTGCATACTACTGGAAAAGATGGCACAGAGACAGTATGCTTTGTGCTAGGCAAAGCAAAATTAGCTCCTCAAAGAGGTCATATGATCCCGAGGTTGGAATTAAGTGCGGCAGTTCTTGGGATTGAGGTAGCAAGAATAGCCAAACAACAGCCAGATTTGAAGATTGATGAGGAAAAGTATTACACAGACGGTAGCATTGTTTTGGGATACATCTACAATGAGGAGAAATGGTTTTATGTGTATATACCTAACAGAGTGGATAGATTTAGGAGTGCTTCTTTTCCTAAGCAGTGGAACGATGTGGGAACCGAAAACAATCAAGCAGACTTGGCAACTAGGTCAGTATTGGCTGATGAACTTCGAACCTCTACATGGATCCAGGGAGATGACTCAAGTGTTTTCAGTGAAAACTGTCAATTGTTTCCTCTCATTGAGGCAGGAAATGACAAGGAGGTTTACTCTGACATATCCATCTCTAAGACGTCTGTGGAACAGCGTTCTATTCTCAATACAGACCTATTCAAAAGATTCTCCAGTTGGTCGAAGTTGGTGAAGTCCATTAGTGCCTTCAAACTTGCTTTGAGACACCGAAGAGGAAATCCTAATGCTGGTTCAGCGTTTAATGATCTCGAGATTATGTAAAAAACTCAGGTCATCATCTTTCAAAGTGTTCAACAAGAAGCATATGGCAAAGAGATCCTATGTTTAGAACAAGGCAGGAGACTTCCTGAAAACAGTTCTCTTTTGTCACTCTGTCCTACTCTGGATTTGAATGAGATAATGAGGCTTGAAGGTAGACTGAAGAGATCACAGTCTGTCGTGGCAAGCATGAACCCAATCATTGTTCCGGAGGGCCAACATATTGCGGTACTTCTCAATAGGCACTTTCACGAGAAGGTGCATCATCAAGGTAGACAGATCACAGAGGGCACCGTTAGGGAAGATGTTGTAAGGGAGGTAACCCCTATTCAAATTCTGACAATAAAGGTTGGATAAAGAACACCCATTTTGGTGCAACATTTCTTCAATGATTGTCAAAATTTGCTTCAGCCTCCTGGAGTCAGATAGGGATTTTTTTAATTCCTTAAAAATTCGTTTTTAAGATAATCTGTTTTTTATGTTGCTCATAAGGTTTACCTACATTTCTGTGAAAGTAAAAACCTGCCTCTTCTGAAATCATATTAAAAAAAATAATTCGAAAACTGTCTCTGATTATAATGACATTGTTTTATTTTTAATCACAGAAAAATCACCGAACAGCATTCAAAAGTTAAGTCTTAACAAGTTCACAAATATAAACATTTCGCAATATATCAATTTTAACTCCAGACAGAAAAAACTTAAGTACCAAATATTGAGCACTATATACTGATATGTTTCAGAAAAAAAGAATTGTGTCCAGGCCACACTGCACCTTATGCACTTTATGTGTTATTTGCGAAAAAGACATCTCACTGTTATCTGAATCTCAAGATGTACAAGATGACAAGCAGTGTTAAATCTCCAGCATCTTTGCCATTTACAGTGTGTGTAAATATCAAAGGTTTACAAATGCAAGCAAATTAAATATTCAGTTTTGTTTTACTGCTTTGTTTTTTTGGAAATCTGTAGGAGCAAGTTAGTAATATTTCCTACACCTATTACCGTGAAAACTAAATTATGATTTAAATTTTTAAAATATCCTTATTAAAATCAAATATTTTATCCATACTTCAATATACCTCAGCTAGAGAGAACTTCTCATTAGCTTGATAGGTTGATTGTCAGACTAGTGCCCAGAGGTCCCCGGTTCAAATCCTAGCAGAGACATTGAAATAAATAATGACCTCAGTTACATTGGCGCCCACGTAGGGACTGAGAAATAATACTTGACAGTACTTTCACAAGTACCGCTGTAACCCCCTGAAAATCAAGGACAAATTATTTCCAGGAGTGGGAGTATGTAACCATTGTAAATACCAGCCGCAATATACCACTCGGCTAAAGAGAACTTCTCTTTAGCTCAATCAGTTGAGCATCAGACTAGTGCCCAGAGGTCCCGGGTTCAAATCCTAGCAGAGACATTGAAATAAATAATGACCTCTGTTACACTAGGCACAATATTATACCATCCATCTAGAGATAACTTCTCTTTAGCATAATCGTTTGAGCATCAGACTAATAAGCCAGCTGTCCTGCATTCATATCCTTTGGAATACATAATGTTACAATGACACCCCTGTAGGGACTCTGGAATGGTACTTAATCATGCCCCACAAGCATTGCTCTAATTCCTGGAAAATTAGGACAAGTTCTTTCCTAAATGGGTAGTATGTAACCGTGGTAAACTTCTCTTTAGCTCGATCAGCTAAGCACCAAACTTGTGAGCTAAATGGCCGAGTTCAAATCCTTGAGGAGCAATTAAATAAATTTTTAAAAATTGACTTCTGTTAAATGGCAATGTCACAATTAAGTAGCTCACATGTTTTATGAATATCCATTTGTAATTACCTGACATATCCTAAACTGTTATTTTCTGTGTCTATCTACCTGGAATTTGTAAAGACATACTACATATCAAATTACAAACAAAAATAAAACATGTCAAAATTCAAATTACTAATTAAAAAGTAACAAAATATTGAGAACCATGACTCCATATTTACAAGTACATGTTTGTGCAAATAGCTATACACAAAATTGAAGAATGAAAAATGTACACATATTGATAAAGTAGGAAAAATTCTACATCATGTTTACATATAACCATCCTCACAGTTCAAACACTTGTCTTATACATTTTGTATTTCGTTTAATAACGCTGAAAATCATAACAATAACAACATAACAAGACGTAGTGATACCGGTCTCACAATGTCTTGAAATGGTTTAGACTGGAAAAAGGAAATAAGTCAAACATCTTCAAACGTGCTCATCCTGGTCCTAGTGTCAGTTCTCTTATGTTTTACACCAATCACATTATGTTTTACAATTCACATTTTCCTTTGTAACAGGAAAAATGATTGGATGATAAGAAGTTTAAAACTCACAAGAAATTTGAAACTAGTCCCAGTACTACACTCACAAGAAACCTGAGCATTTCATAACTTGAGATTTTTTATCCTAACTATCTAGATAGAAATTTTATTTCAGAACCATATACAATATGTACAATTAGCAATGTGTGCATATCTGAATTCTGTTGTGGTTATCTCGTTGCTTTCCTACTCACTGCACCCCTTCCCTCATCCCCTCAAAGAAAAATTAACGAAAATTACTGACTTTAAAAAACCTTAGAAGTTATCAACTGTTATTTATACAAATAATTCAAGTTTGAGCACAAATATCTTTTGGAAGTAGCTCAGTACTTTCACACGTATACAAAACAAATAAAAAAATTAAGGTGCCGATAGGTTTTGTAGTAGAATCATTTCTCTTGCAACCAAGATTTTTTCTTTTTCTGTTTTATGAGGAGGAGCTGGGTGCACACTCCAATTTCCTATCCTTTCAAAAAAGTCTTATACCAAATCAACATATATACACTATCATCACTAAAACAATCACATATTTGTCGATGTCAACATCCACATCTTACAAAAAACGTTAATTTCACATATGGACAGTTGCATAGAGGTAATTCAATGAATCTTTAAAAATGTGAAATAATATGGTATATGGAGAAAAAAATCTTACAAGACAATAGTATCACTGATATGCTTTACAATGAAGTTCTTAAAAAATTGACAAATAAAATCATTTACCATCAAAATGTTGGCTATTTTGAATCCTTAAACCTTTGTTAGAAAATGAGACAGATGAAAATATTATACTCCTATAACATGCTTGTGAAAGGGAGGCAGTTCTAGACCTCTCCCACTATCACACTGGTGATGCATATAAACAAGATTTTTTGTGAGTTGTGGAAATTCTGTTCACATATAAAATGGCACAATATATATATGTCTTGTACAAAATATAAGAAAACAAACACAAACACAATTCAACTTCAAAAATCATACATAATTGAATTTTTAAATGTTGATATTAAGAAAAGAGTGCATATTAGTGAAAAATAAAGACTGTTTAGTACATGTATCACAAAAAAATCACAGGACTCATTTCTACAAAAAAAATAACAGTAGGTTAATCAATAAAAAATCATGATGTAAAGTTTGATAGATTAGAGTACACATCACAGTCAGAATGAAATCAATTGTCTGAATTCATCGTTTCACCATAACGTGATATTTCACATATATATATATATATATATATATATAAACTTATATCTTCTATATATAACTGCTATTTGAAACCCTGTTCATTTCAAAAAATTGCAAAAGCGCATATAAAACAACAAACTCCAATAGCAGTGTAGCATTTGGTACAGGCATTGGAAGTGAATTCATACATTAGTGTCAATTAGATCAAGTTTACAGGCATGTGTACATATATATATAAGTATGGATTTTACAAGTTTGTCAAAGAGACAGATGAAGCCTATGTAAATCTGCTATTAATAATCAACTACAAATACACAAAGCTAGTTTTCTAATTTATACAACTGAACATCAAGTCAGTTACAGCATACTTTACCTCCTGACAAGTACCAATACTTGAAATGAGAAATATTCACTTTGAAATTTCTAAGAAACACCTTCAAATAAACAAAGTATAAAGAAATAAGTTCTTTTCCCTAAAGATAAGAATTTTTGATTTCTAAACAATATTGCAATGATAACATTTTAATCCCAAAACATGGGAGACAGCCTTGTTTAATTGTATTTCTTATATTGTTGATAACGAGAAAGGAATATCCAGTTAAGTTTAGTCACATGTAAAGAAATAATTACATCAAATACAAAAAATTAATGTTAAAATATCACACCACTCCACTCCATTTCATTCCACTCCACTCCACTCCATTTTATTCCACTCCACCCATTCATTTTCTTATAAACATCGTTGTCTGATTAAAGCGTATATAAAAATAGATTATGCACTTTATAAAATGTAACAGGTAAAATGACCAGATTTGTTTACATTTTGTGATGTCATTAATTAGGGATAAAAGATTTGATTGAATGATGATTGATAGTATATATCATTACAAGTGTTGTTTTCCCACAACCCTAATATCATAGAGTCATGGTGCTCATATGTATTATGTGCTACACATGTTATACAAATTCTAAAGTAGCAAAAAAAAAACAATGCATTAACAAATTGGTCCACACTATGTACATAAAAAAGTACAATAATTCAAATATAAATAACATTATATTTCTTAACACTTCACACATAACACACCATTATTATGAAAGTAATTGAAATTAAAACTATGATAAAAATATTTGTATAAAAAGCTATTAAATCTTCATTGGTTCTATGTAAGTTTGCAGATCTTTCTAACCCTTCCTCTTAAATATCTGCATATTGTGTCAATGATAATGTTAGTAACATAAAGGGACTAAATGGTAAGATACCGTTATTTTTTTCCCAGGTGTTTGATTTCTGTCAAGTATTGTAATACTTGAAGTTAGACTGTTCACAAAATTATAACCCTCTCTGAGAGAAATTGATAAAGATTATCAGCTTCAAACTAACACTATACTATGTATAATAATGTAATTAGCCAAACTTAACTTGCCAGTCATGTTTCA